GGGGTTGAGTCTTACCCCCCCCTCTGGCTTTCTGATTGGCCGGGAAGCTAGCTCCAAACTCCCCGGCCAATCAGGAAGCCGGGCTGCATGTAATAACTCACCTCCTGGCTTCCTGATACCGAAAGTTCCGGTATCAGGATAAGTATCAAGAGCATTTGGGCGAGTACTCGTAGTCGCCTAAATGCTCGGTATCGGCACCGATAACTATACTAATATAGGTATCGGTGCAACCCTACTAACAGGTCTGTCTACAAGAGGGACTGCACCTGTTTTGTGTGTGTGTGTGTATATATATATAAAAATATACACATATATACACACACACACACACATACATATACAAACTCATACACACACACACACACACACATATTCTAATATCAGCTATGTGCATCAATACAAATACAAATTACCCATACAAAGATATTCTTCTTTTTAACAATATTTAGCACATGCCTTAAAACATTTCACCACATATTTCCTAATTTTTGTTCAATATAAATAGCATCACAATAGAGAACCAGACACTTGCTTGGTTAAGGTTCCACTTATACTTTAGCTGGTAAAACAGACAGTTGATTCTCACCTTGTATATGTAGCATGCCTGCTTCCTTTCGGAAAAACTCATCAGTGCTGCTGTTGTCGTCTTTGCCCCATTGATTCGATTGTTTAGCCGCATTTTCACAAATTGCAAAAGCACAGCACTGGTAGGAGTACGGCATTTCCATGACCCTAAGATTGTCCAAACATAATGGGTGTTATTTGATTTCAGCCGTGATCTCTTTAGCAAAGCAGTAACTGTTAATACCAATTACACACATTACTCTGCAAATGTTTAAATCATTTGTTTCCCATTTTTATGTAACACAGAGTTGTTAAACAGCACTTTCCAGTGTACGTAGAATCGGCTGCTGTTTCATGAAAAAAGCACACAATCAATTGTTTGCAACATAATTGTACATTATAAGGCCAATGTTGGATAGAAAACAATCTACCAGTGTGTTTTGGATTCTCTCTTACAGTAATTAAATTGATGGAATTTTAAACATTTAGACCAGGTTGTACGCTTTTCAGATGACAAGATAATTGATTTCTGATGTCATTGACCTAAAGTGCAACTGTTCCCAAATTATGAATATCAAAGTTTTTGAATATTCTTAAAAAGCATTGGAAGAACTGTATAACAAGCCCTCATTGACCCCTCTAGGTATTTGTAATATGAACTAAATCATTCTTTAAGTTCACAACAGTCGTTGAAGTCAAGTATTTAACAATTTAGAAACATCTGGTGATTGTTTACATTAGAAGGCTGGCAAGTTCCGGCTGTGATTTCCATATTATTGTTTTGAAATTTACAGATTAATTTCTCCACAGCACCTACAGGTATAAATTGCTTGTTTAGAATAAGCTAGAATTTTAATGTGAAGAGATAAGACACAGGTTCTACTATGGTTCTGTTTATTTAGCTATTAGCTATCTCAGGTATTATTTGATAACTGAGAATAACTTAAGGTAAAGTTATACATATACTGTTTTTAGCACACACGCGGCTTTCTTTTGGTGATATTGTTATTTTTTATGCAAACTCATAGAAAAATATATAACAAAACTAGAAATCAGTGATAGTTTAAATTGCTAGTTTAAATAAATATTATTATTGTAAGAAAAGTATCAATTTAATTTTTTAATTCATAAAATAACACTAAAATAATGAGTTAAATTATAATACAAAGCATTGCAAAGTTATAAAAAAATGAAATAAAGGCTGTTTTCCTATTTTTTTAATGCAACACTAAAAAAAACCAAAGTGAATAAAAGCAACAACACCCCTTTCATCCGCTCCCATCAGCCCTTTAAGGGTTTCTTAATGTTGGCAGGCAGAAGCAGGCTACCTGACCATGTGATCACTGTGTTTGGATGTCACATTGTTCACGTGACCAGGAGCCTGCCCCCAGCTTCCAATCGTAAGCGATGACTGGGAGCTGTCACTGGCAGTGTGGTCATTATGCGGTGTGGTCGAGTGAGCACGCTCCCACCATAACACAGAGACACAGGCTGTATGTATATAATGTGGCACCTTGTTGTTAAAGCCCACCACCATGCTGCCACATATATGTATAGGGCCATCAGCAAACTATAAATGGTCAAACAAATAGAAAGTAAAAGACATCAGCAGGAAAAGAATAAGTCTGATTAGGGTAAACTAAGGGGTTAAATAGGAACACGTTTTATTTTAATAAAAAAAACTGACATCTTTTGTAGAATGAAGCTCATCCCCTTGAACTGCAGATTTATAAAACAGGACTATCTATTTGAACTGTGTTTATAAACATTGTGCCATGCAGACCATGTTTTTTAACAGCAGCAGCTGTAAGAGATGCTGTTTTTTCTCTCACTATTTTTAGAAAGTAAAAAACATCAACCTGAAAATAACAGGCCTGATTACGATAAACTAAAGGGTTAAATAGGTTCTATTTAAAAAAACAAAAACTATTATTTATTTATTTTTTATGTGTCAGGTTGCTTAAAGTGACATTTTTTGCAGACTGAAGTTCAACCCTTTGATCTGCAGATGAATAAAACAGAGATTCATAGTAATATTGAGAAAATGTCAGAGGTGGCCTAGCGGTCCGGGGGAGGAGAGCGTTGTGAGCGGCCAGTGTGTCACAAGAGGCTGAGTCCTCCTCCGCCCCTTCTGCCTCCTCTGACCCATCAGGATGGAGAGCAGTGTGGGGACAGAGCCCGAGCCAGCAGTGTGGGGGAGGTGTCAGCTGTCAAAATAGGCAGAGCTCTTCTCTGTTGTGACAGTGAGTCAGGATGGAGAGCGGTACAAGCAGTCAATTATCAGCTGATCACTGAGTGTTTGTAAATAACTGGACATAGTATGAGTTACTATGTACCAGTTATGAATGAATAGGACGTGATCTACATCACTTCCTATTCATGATTGTGTATATAGTAAGCATACTATCTCCATAACGTATGAATGAACAGGAACACTCAGTATAGAGGATTCCTGTTCATTTATAACAGGGACTGCAGAAAAAGAGATTATGGACTCTCAATCTCTTTTTCTATTTTAAAAGGGAAATATCAGGGTTCTGTTTAGACTCCTGCTATTTCACCAAAGCCCTCAACAGTAAAGTTAAAAAAAAAAAAATCATAAAAATAAATAAAATTTAAAAAACTTTAAACGTTTATAAAAAAAACATTTTTTTTAAAAAGGTTATAAAAAAATGATTTTCAGTTTAAGTCGGACATTATTTTATTTTCAGTTTCGGTTTAAAATGTTTATTTCGGTGCACCTCTACTGTAAATACAAGATATCTAAGGATACATGGAATCCTTAGTTGTATTATGCAAACAGTTTAAGTCCCTTTGTCTGACAGTGGTACTATAAAACACAATACAAGTAAACATAGCGTTTCATTTTAGGACACTATGGTAGAAAGAAAAACAGATGGGACAGGATCCCAATTTTGGAATTATTTTCTTTCCAATGAAATAAGTATCACAATTATCTGCCTATGGAAATTCTTCAAGTCTCCATTGGTACAAAATTCATAATCAGTAACCATCATGTACTGGCAACATAAACTGCAGCTGTACATCTGTTAAAAATAAGTCAAGGCAACTGGACTTGCTGTATTTTTCGTGAAGACGTTTCACTGGTCATCCAACCAGCTTTCTCAATTCTGAATTGTATTTTTTGCTGGCTACATGATTTTGACGTGTATATTTGTAGCAAAATTTACTTATTAGCCAATGCAACTCAAATGGCATTATATTCTGGAGAGGTGCAACATTGATATAACCTAGAGATATTTGTGTGTGACTATAAGTACTATGATGTAATAATACAAACAGCACAGCTAAAATCAACCAGCTGGTGTGTCGCAGTCACCTGTATGTAGAAGTTCAGACAACGGTTATCTACACAGATTGGCAATGCTAAAGAGCTGTAAACAATATTTACTTACTTTGCCACTGGTAGTTGGAAGTGAATGACTACATGGAATGTATTCAGCCTTCTATCACTCGGCATAAAGTGTCTTGACAACACATTCTTTACTGTCTCCTCTTTGATTCATCCGTGACTATGTGACTTTTATTTGCCCTTCTTAATTGCAGTTATTTTATGTAATCTTTTCTTTTAAGAACTCCTGCAATTATGGCTCCACACTCATATAAATCTCTTGGCTTATCTTTTACATGCTTTCAGCAAGTGGCTGATTTAGTGTCCTATTATTTATTTAAATGTACAAAGGCACAGAAGGGATGTGTCACAAGCATTGCATTCCCATTCTGAATTATGGGGGGGGGGATCAGATAATTGCAATGAATGAACACAGGAAACAATTATTCTGCTTTAACAAGCACTCCCCTCTCGTGTATTGTTAGCCTTCCCATTATAACATTATTTATACATGGAAATTGATGGAGCATCATGGGCAATGTGATCAGAACTTATTTGCTAAGTTAAACATTTCATTAGATAGGTTGTTACTTATTTAAGCGAGAAGACAAAAAAGAGCAAATAGCTATGCTTAAAGTGAAATATTATGTTTTTTTAATCACATGGGATATGGGAGGAAAAAAAATCATTTTATTTTGCAGAATTCTATTTTTTTTTTTTCCACTAGTTGAATAATCCAACAAAGCCCAAACCACAGTAGTGACTCTGAAACAAACATATTTTCATGTTTAGTCTGCGTGTTACAAAAGAAAATAGAAAACTAATTTTCTTTACAGTCTTCTTCCCAAAGCATTATCGAGGGCCCATCTAACTTTTTATGTTACTAGACTACCGTCTGAATCTTATTTTCTATATTTTTGAAGGCCATTTCCTGTTTTGTTTTCCTACGGGTAATAGAAATAGATGATAAGTGCTTACCTGAGTTTTGGAAAATGTTCTGCTGGGATCAGTTCTTGTAGGTCAGAATTTCCTGTCAGTTTTAAATGAGTCAAACCATGTAGCCCAGTGACGGGAAATGACGTCATCTGGTTGGATGAGAGATCTCTGGTGGGAGATGAAGTAAGACACCATGTCACCCACATATTTCTATAGTACAGTGTTTGCCAAGTCAACCCTCGAGGAACATCAACAGTCCAGATTCCCTCCCAACAACACAGCTGAAATAGCAAGTAAAGCCACACTTATATCACACTTGTGCTACTACTTGAAAGCATGGAAGGAATAATATGTTGGTCCCCAAGGAATGGAGATTAGAAACCATGCTACAGTAAAACTACAACAAATCCTGCACATTGAGAATACATTCATTAAAGTACATAACCCTTATTTTTTTTAGGCTCATTCTGTACTTAAACAATTGCAACAATGGGCCTAGATATTAAAACCACATTTAAGGTAAACCCTCTAGCTGGAACAAAACAAATGTTTTAGTTTTCCATCCTAATTTCTGCTCTTGTAAAAACTATTTAAACAATTTATAGTGATTGTAAAAATGCTAAAGTTACTTTTCAGTAAGAAAAACTAACTACGTGTTGTTCTGATGTTCTATTTTATTAGGAGACTATGCTTGGTTGTAGCTGGAATATGCACACGTTTTACGTTTGTTTGAATATTTTGCCACAGTCTGTAACAGTGATGCCAAGGTAGTACCAGAATGCTGCCAGTCGGCAGTCCCTCTTGGCCAAGCTAAATATACAAGTGTTTTATCTACTTCATTCACCCAGTGGGTTTTTGTATGAACGGACAAAAAAGTGAAATCAGGACCTCGTATCATAGCGGCACTCTATACATTACTTTTCTTTACTGCCAGCATATAAGGCCAGGTAGCTAGCTACAGCTGAGTTATATACTATGGTAAAAATTTCAAAGATACTGTTAATTAAACTGAACTAAAGACAGAAATTTAAAAACTGCTAGAAGTTAGAGGGTTTTTTTTTGGCTAAAGGAGATATGGAAAGTCTTTTTTTGCCAAAAAAATTGTCCCATGCTCCTATTAATTTTGGTATTTTTAATGTACACTGCATGGCAGATGCACTGTGCAGTATACATCATGTTTCATTTATTCATTTCATGAAGTCGGGTGCTGGGGATGATACAACTTCTGGCACCCTATGGCCAAGAAGCAGCAGGGAAGATGATGGTGGACAGAATGGCACCTGGACCAGTCATCGCTGGAGAAGTGTCTAATAGGAGTTAAGTGCGCCATGCAATGGATATCTGCACATTATAGCAAGAGCCCACCTCCACAAAGTATAATGGATTTCCGCTTTGAATAAGAAACTCACAGAAGGATTTGATTCCACAACAATATTACAAAATTGAGACAAAACTTGTTCTTGCTTATTTACTTAAGCCAAATAATATGTGGCATGTGAGCTCCCAAGAAATTACTAGCTTCTTGGCACTTGTCTAGAGGTTTCTTTACCCTGACAACTCTTGCTGCTCAGATAACGAATGTGGTTGGCATACCTTGCCTTTGTCTTCACGACTGACAGATTTTTGAAACATGCACCTATATTGTACTTTTTTTTTTACATCTGTGTAAGCCAAACAAAAATGGCATGATTACAGTGAGCTTGGGTGAATTTTAAGCATGACTGGAGTCAATTTGCTTTGTGAATTATTGCCTATAGAAACTGACTGAGCTGAATGGACTTTCACATTTTTTTTAAAACAGTGCCAAATAACTAGCCTTGCATGACCCTCCTGAAAAAGTCAGTCATTTCACAAAGGTTTTCTTTTATACTGTATTTTGCGGTTTACCACACTACATATTGTAGAGTGGTGTAGTTAAAGACTGGTGAACATGCACCACCTCAGAGATTTTAAATCAGTGCACATACTCAGCTAATCCCCTGTGAGAAAGCTGTTACCTTCCTCCTTTGTCCTTTGGAAGCCACCCCATGTGACACTTTTCATTGGTTTGTGGGGTGGCCCCAGCATGTTGACTGGCAGGGGTTCACTGCTTCCTCTCCACAGCTATCTGCCCTACATGATATTCTGTGCCAGATTGCGGGTTTTTCTCTTTCTAGCAACCCTACATGACACACTATTCAGCTGCTTGCAGGGCACAGGGTGACTGTCAATGAGCAGAAACCATACCTCCTACAATTATTTAATTTTTGCATAATAATAATATAATTAATAAATACATAGTTAATAAAACATCATAATTATGTATTTTAATTAGATACAGTTAGTATAAAAGAATGGCTTCCATGTTTTTTTTTACTTCTCACAGTGCGGTGCAAGCTATATTGTCACGTGACCATGATATAAAAAACCCTAAACAAAGCTGTAGTGACGAACCCCCAAGGAGCTGCTGGGTTGAAAATATCCCCCTAGCCTTTCTAGTGGTGCAATGGCTTACTGCTACCCCAAATCACTCATTGACCCACAAGGGGAGACCAAATGACCAATAATTACTCTGTAGCAGGTTTTATTGGCTGTGTCCAGGGGAAAGAGGGTTAGAGGTTGCAGGACACCATGCCAACTCCCCCTACCAGCCATAATCTGCCTGCTTTGCATTAGGTAGCACAAAGCTAGTGATGATTTCACTGCATCCGAAATAAGGTATGTAACGAAAACAGAAATGTTTTATTTAATAGTTGCATAAGCATGTTGAAGAGGGGGAAAGGAAAAACCAGGGTAGGCAAAATATAATCAGGTTAAACTTCATCTTTAACAGCTACTTTACTGTCTCCTATGCCCTAGCATAGGCCCATTCACAATCCTCGGGACCTGGCTTTGGAACTTGTTCCTCCCAAAGCAGCAGGACTGGGAGGCAAAGGACCTCTGTACTCTTCTCACTCTCCCTTGGCTGCAGGCAAGGGAGGCTATAGCAGGATCTCTTAAACTGACATCCTCTCTAAGCAAAGCTTGGGAGGCAAGGACCCTTCTAGAAGGGCTCCCCAAATATTTATCTCATAACATTATATCTTCTTGCTTTATTCACTGGAGGACACTCTCTAGGATCAGGCAGAGGTAAACAATGCCCTAGGCTTAGGGGAAACCCAATTAATGCAGAAAACAGTAACAATCAGAGCTTCGGCTGGTTACAGCATATCTCTCCACTAAAGTGGCACTTTAGATTTGGCAGTGCAGCTACAAAACTAAATTTGCAATAAAATGTAAAAGTGATCTATAGGCCACTAGTTGTATTTTGTATTTACTTATGCAACATACAATAACATTGTAATGGGTTTACTAACAGTAATGTTTACATGCTTATGCAAGAAGGGAAATACACACAGTAACCCATAGCAGCCAACCAAAACAATTGTTCACCAATTCAACTGCAGCAAATGGTTCACTTCGGGATACTGCTTTTTGCATAGCACCATTGCTCTTTAAACTGTCTCACAATAGCTAGTATGGACAAGCATAATGGACAAATATTAGAGTACACCACCTCTCCAAATTAAATAATAATGCTCCCACCAGGGTTATTCCAGCTTTCCTCCTATTAAAAGAGAGGAATGCTACTTGCAAACACTAATCCCTTTGGACTTCGGTACCTGTAGAACTTGAAGTGTACAATCCTTCCATCAAGAAGCCTTTAAGTGATCTTGAGCTGCAGTGGCTGCTTGTTACAGACGAACCTTCTAAAACAAGTATGTGAACTCTGTCAGGAACGTTTTTTACTTTGCTACTACACTGGCGCTGTATATTTACACAGTATGGACAGTCACTATATGCATAACAGAATCACCGACTGTTCAATTACCATACATGCACATAAACCAAACAAGCCTGACAGCCAGAGCCCACACTTGTTTTAAAGATTTTCACACAACCAGAAACAACTGAAGTCCCTTAACAGATTCCTATCAGAGAGCTTGATTGCCTCAAAAGTCCTTGGTACCAACATAAACCAGGAAATTTCGCTCTTCTAATAGAAGAAGACAATTAACAGGTAAGGGTTCGCGAGACCAGGTTGAACTATGTGCTACATATAGTATTTGCTATTTCTTCCTATGATGGTCTGACATTGACTCTGATTGAGTAGCAGTGTTAGAGTGTTGGTAGCCCAGGGAATCAGCAGAAGTGTAATCTATATTGTCCTTTTTAAACTCTCACTAGAATGGATAAAGTAACAAAAACAAAAATCTTTACAAATTACAGGTGAATATTCAACAAGATAGAATAACAAACTGCTTTCCAAATGTACTTACAGCTTGATGAGAGAGGGTAAAGAGGAAAATGATGTGGGGTGAATGTATGTTATTTTGTTCCAAGCCAAGTCCCTGCATACACAAAAAAAGAATTCAGCTGAATATGCAATGTATTAAGATTAGTAACTGTTTTGCTTACTTTTTATGACTAATAGTGACATTTAGGATGCATTTTCCAAAATCTTTATGAAATGTACCGTAACATTAAATAGGCATATCTTCCATAAACCATTGACAGCTTGTGATTTGATGATGTATCAGATAAATAATAAACTACCATAACAAAGTTAAATGGATATTAAAGTCAAAAGGTTTTTTAGCTAGCATATGAAATGCTGATGATTTCACTTACAATGCTCTATCTATTGTGATTTTGTACTGGACAGGAAGTTCAGGGAAATGGAGCTAAGAGAGATATAGCCAGGTGTTTACAAATATGATGACTGTAACTGCTTGGGCAAAATAATTAAGAAATATTTTGCTGGGTAATGTATATGTGTTTTATCTGGATTCATTATAGAAAAATGTTTGAGAGTTTAATATTACTTTAATTATTTATCACCAAGCTCACAACATTCTATACTTGAACAGTAATCCAAAGTTTTAAGTACTGTTCAAAGTGACAGTAATAGAATAGTAACAGAAACCTGACACAAACTGCCCCTTTAAATCCAACTATCCAGTTCCTTAAATGTTTAGTGAAGTGAATGGGCTGTTTTTATGTGAGGACGGAGGTGAATTACTTCTAATGTTTTTAAAGTTCTTCTTTAACATTTTGACCTTTCATGTATATGTATGATGTGCTCAGTTTTCCTCTCCTCATTTTATAAAGTGCAGACTGCACCAATTTAATTGGTCTCTTGGACAGCATAAAGAGAGATTCACTGTATTGTGCTTTGTGTTTACTTCTTAATTATAGTTCTTTAAACGGCACAGTAAAATGGGATCAAACAAACAGGGGATTTGCAGAACACTCACAGGGATCGCAAGACAATCAGCTGCTGAAAGGTGCTGGATCTGATTTCATAGATTTCATTATGACGAAGATCTCTGAAATGACAGAGAATTTATAAGTGGATTGTAGAAGCATGAAATTCCATAACAAACCTTTCTCCACCATCAGATCACCTTCAACCCAAACACTGTATTGTGAATGAGGTTAAAGATGTCCATGTTTGAAGTGATATGGGGTAGAAGGCTTAAGTATAAAACACCTGCATATGTAATACATACTCACATCTTCTGAAGTCTCTGACAGCTGGAGAAGCTTGGCAAGTCCTTGATATGATTATATGACAAGTCCCTGAAATAAAAACAGTGTGTTGAGTAACAAAGAGGAGAACATAACTAGTTAATGCTGAAGCTGAAGGCAAAGCTAAAAAAATGTCCAGTAATGGAGTAAGCCAGAAGGTCTCAACATAAGCATGAGCAAGACGTGTTGTCAATTTATGGAACAGATCAATGACCTTCTAATCTAAAGCGCAACTGTGCCTTTCAACTAAGAAACGGAACACGGATATGGAGAAGCCCCAGGCCAATATAAGAAGCAGGATGCTATCCACAACAATAGCCTCAAGAAATGTTGTAGTATTATGACTGTTAACTGAGCAAACTGCACTTGACATGACTAGGGAATCATAGCCACAGACTAAGGTAGTTAAGGGCATGATTAAAAACTATATCAGGAACTAGGCCTGCAGAGCCCCACAGAGTACTGTATGCTAGCTTATAAGGGGGCAACAATAGTGATCAGGGCAGGTGTTTTTATCTTGCCCAATTGACTTCTTTCCCAAACTAAAAGCAGACATGAGATTGTTGCCCAAGTAATATTGAGTTCATGTTATTCACTAACATATCAAAAAGTAATCATACATGGGACTTTAATAAATGATAAGATCCTTCACATATATCTGATGTCCCCAGATTTGTGCAACAACTGGCCATGGTATGGTGAGCTACCCTGCAATGAACTATAAGGATAATATGTTTTTCAATTGAACATAAACTATATAAGGCTAAACTTACAAAGCTTACACCAAAAATAAGCATCTTTATTTAAAAAAAAATGACAGCTATTTTTTAGCCCAATAAGACAATATAAAACAGTTGCATGGGTAAAATAAAGATCTTTATCCTTGTGTTAAAGCTTTCTGAATTGAAACTAATGTATTAAGGGGTGGTAAGAGTACTACCCATAATACAACTGAATTACTGTACTAAACCTATTGACAATGCTAGCCATCAGACCAAAAACTTGAACAAACTAGGGTGCAGGGACATCCTTTCATGAAGGAATTATATAGTATTGGCAATTTATCGGAAAACTGCATTTTAAAATGATATAAATATTAGTAGCATCAAATCATAAAACCTAAGACCAAATGTACATATCTTTTCTCAATAAGTATGTAACACAGGGATAGACACAAGTTTATAACAATGGGCATTCCAGTTTACCTGACACATTTTCAGTTTTACAATTATAGAACACAATTAAAATATTTAATACATCACTTTTCTGAAAATAAATAATCATTTACTTTTTTTTTCTTTTTAAAAGGCTCTTTTTACAGCTATGTCACCTATGTTACCACAACACACGTTACATGTGGTACTATTTATTTTAAATGGCACTCTAATGAGTGCTACCGCAACACACGGCAACCTACTATAGTGCATTGTGGTTCCCTAAAAGTTTGTGGCACATCCGATTTTTGGTACATTGGCAGCCCATTGACATAGCGTGTGTAACGTACAACACAAATGTAAATGGACCCTGAGTTCAGGTTCTCTTGCTGCGCTTAATTTCTGTCCTGCTCAAACCTGCATGTTTAGTGTCATTTAACTAGTACTTACACAGAACTACAATGCATTTTAGGTTAAAATATGATTTTATATGTTTAAAATATAGCATAATTAAGATGCAAAAAACAGTTATTTAAATGAGCTATACAATATGAAAAGTGCATCTTGGTATGCTAATCTATAAAGAAGCAAAGTGAAATTCAAGTTGGTAATTCAATACAGAGAAATAAAAAGCAGCCAATGAAATCTATCCAGCGGAAACTCCCAGTGACCTAGGTGAAAAGCATTCTGTGCTTCTTCGGGATCTTCAAAGAGTATTGAATTTCTTCTTAAGTGCTCTAATGCTACCTTACATCACAGAAAATTTACTATAGCAAATAAATAAATAAATATCAGTATTCCCAATTAATCACAGCTATGGAAGACTTTGTTTCTGAGTGAGAGATACCTTACATTATTCCCAATGGTTTGACCTTTTTATTGAGCTTCTCCAACATCAGTCATTACTGATGAAATTAGAAACCATCATAACTGGTCAAAATTAAAGTGCTTGACCACATATTTACTTTAGTTGGCCATACACCAGCCAATAATCACTGTGTGATCAATCTGAGCTTTATTACAGTTAACTGGATAGCTTCGGAGACAATGTTAATCTGAAATCCGAAAAACCTTGAATAGACTTTCCAGCACAACTGGAATTCTCCACTTCCAATCATTTAATCAATACTTTTTCCATGAGAAAAGGAAAAGGAAAGAATCCTTTCTTTAGCCATGTGTCAAATGAAGCATGGCAGAAGCCAGAAGGAAAAGTCATTCAGCATCTGGTGCTTGTTGATCATTTCAATGAAAGGCTGCTCTTGTAGCTTCCTATGGGATCTTCCTGTCTATGGCCAGCTTAAGTTCTATTTTGTATGCTACTTGTATGTCTCACTGCTAAATACAATACTTTTTGAAAGAGTTTGACTTATCCTAATCCAATAGTATAAAAAAGGACACTAGAGAATAACAAGGCATGTTTATAAAGCATGACATCTGGATGGTAGACAAACACTGGAAAGAAAAAGTCTTTACAAAGTCTTTTAAAGTCGTGACAAAGTTATCCTGCCTGTATTTTTCACTAATCTTCCTAAGCGTTTATGGAGATAGACAACCTTCTATGAAACGTGTGATGGCAAAACTCCAAACACTAATGACAGAGTAAAATAATGAATATAATAAATATAATCAGAATCTGCATCTAATAATTTCCCCTTGTAAATACTCCACATTGTTGGCTCGTGTAATAACACAATGTGCCCAACATTTCAGCGTGAAGGTTTGTTGCCTATTCTGAACATAGACTTGGATCCTGCTCATTGGACATATAATGCAGTTACAGACCAAACAGCCTGAAGTGTCTATAAGTACCACGATATTCCCCTTCAAAACAAAAAATGTGCGTGGAATATTTGTGGATGCTTTACAGCCCTTGCAATAGTAAAAAAGCAATAAATTGCAATCAGTGTTGATACACCAACATGTCAAATGGAAAAACATCAAATATATTCACCGTGATCTAATAACTGCTGCCATAAATAATTTTTTCCCCTGGAGCATTTTAAAAGAAAATAAACCAGTGCACAGATTGAGAGTTTCCAGCGAACTCATGCAAGTCTAATTCTTATCAAATGTCTTTGTAATGATAGACGCACATACTGTACTCACTTTCTTCTTCCCAGTTCCAGAGAATAAAGTGACTTGCCCAAAGTTCACACTACAAGCTCAGATAATAGTTTAATTTTTTAAGTTAAAACTAAATAATAATTCAGAATGATAAAGCTTGGCCATCCAATTATTGCATATGGAGATAATTTCATACATTAAGCTTATATAGTGCATACACCATCAAATGTTTGGCAAAACTTTTTAGTTTTGAAATAATAAGAAATCTCTCCAAAGTTTGAAGAAATATCTTCTTAGACAGTTGTCACCAGAACAGGTGTCCCGATTAGAGGATTTTGCCTTACCTCCTGTTTGGGTGACAATTATAAAACTTTTACATAACTGCCTGTCCTAGTGACAATGGTCACCGGGGCAAATACAGAAGATTACTTTCTAAATAGGGACACAACAATAAAACACTGACCGATGTTCTAACTCTTCCCTAATTAACTTTAGAAATACGTTATGTCAGAAAAGGATACTTAAGAGCGTAGATGACCTGTAAGTGATATATTACACAGTTATGGGCATGCAGCAGGAACATAGTATTCCAGATGATGCATAGTAGACAAAGGGTACAAGCCAAGACACACTTGTGGGCAGAGGTGGATTGTAATGGTGACTACTTTATCTAGGTGATAGCATACAGGGACCAAACCGTTCTGATTCAGTATTAAGAGTACAAATGTGGCTTTCATTACAGAGAAAATATGGTTTGGATCAAACACTTGGCATGAATTTCCATGAACTAAAAGGGATATTCCAATAATATGTAACAATTATGTGTAGTTTGGGAATACACCATACATGAATAATTTAATAAAGTCCTGTTTATGTTGTGATGAGACACAAGTAACATAATTTGGGGGCTGCAGCAACTCTGGGGCCAATGAAGGGTCCAGGAATTCTTATTCTGCACCAATTGAAGAGGAACTTTACACATATCTTCAAAATAACAACAAAGGCAGCTTTAGAAATGTTTAGTAATGTCAGTCTACAAACAGATACTTCTACATAATTGTCGGCTTTCTATTCTCTGCATACCTTGTTTTTCTTTTCCTCTGCATTCTTCTCACAATGCCATTTTTTACTAAGGGCAGATTAATCCATCTCACTTTACTTCCTGGAACTCTGGCACTTGTGACTAGAACATCTGACCATGCATAAAATCGCAGGAGAGGAAAATGCCTTTCCCTGCGATCTTGTGAGATTACAGATGAGATTTCCCAGCACTGCTCTGTTGATGTAACCTTCCCAGCATGCAAAGCTTGGGTACGACTACATGACTTTTGCCAGAAAGAACCAGGAAGTAGAAAACAAGAATTTGGGAGGGGGGGGATTTACACTGTTATTGCTATCACATAGGGGGATAACAATCCTGACACCCTCCCGAGCCGGTCCCGGGCCACTGATGGGGCAGTAGATGCCGGGATTGAAGGTGAGGGTGCAGGAGGGGGGCCAGCAGCGAAACGGCGGTACTCGAGGAGGGGGCGCACAGGCAGCACATACAAGCGGTCGGATGGCTATAGTGCCACTGATCGCTTGTATGTGAAAAAGCCGGCAACGGCTGTTTGCAGTGGACAGTTTTTCTTTGTCCGTGCGCGAGCAGAAAAAAAAGCTGTTTATTTACGGCAACCCGCCAATGGGAGTTTGCCCTCCGTCCGTGTTTTCACAACGGGCGGACGGCCAAGCAGTTAAGCAATGTATGTATATGTACACACAGAGGGGAATTTATCAAAACTGGAGCAGAGAAAAGCAGAGAGAAGCTAATTGGTTGCCATGCACAGCTGCTCCAGTTTTTGTTTGCTCCAGTTTTGATAAATTCCCCCCATAGAGAATTTCTAAGAGACAATCAACTTGTCATTGGTCAACGTTCTATGTAAATCCTTAATTTTGGGTGTTGCTTCTGCTCATTAAACATTATAAACATGTAGTAAGATTTGATTTTATTATTTAGATTTTTCCAGAATATATTATATTACTTCATGAAAATTCATGGAAGCCAAATATGGTGCATCCAGTACTAGAAAAACATTTAATACAAAATCTAATCCAATGCAAAGCTAACCACTGGCATAGATGAATATGTGACAGATAGGTCTGAAGTTGCAGCTATGTTAAATGGACACCATCTGTTTTGTATGGCCAGAAGTGCCATGTCACAAGCCTGGGAACATACTGGGTAAAGGTATGCCCAGATTCCTGGGCAGTCTGCAGCTGTAATTCTTTGTTTTGCTAACGCTAATTGGTGAATGGGAATATTGCATGACTGCACAGTGCACAGAAAAGTTATGGTATGTAGAAAACACTGTTGCAGTCAATGATTTTAATAAACAATGAGCCGTAGACAAACAATATGCCTCCAGCAAATGAGCAGCAGTTCAGTGCCCTGCCTCCTGAGCTGCTGTCTTTTCCTCTTCTAATTAATGGGAAGATAAAGCAAACTTTGTCCTTTCATGGCTGCACTCAATATTCCTTGGACCATTCACTACCTTTGAACCGTAACTTAACAAGCTCAGACAGATTCCATAAAAAGATCTCCCTCCCTTTGCTAAAACATTGCATGCTCTGGGCTGGGTGAAGGATTCAATGTAGGGCAGATATTCCAGCAAAATAAAAACTGTTAAATTCCTTCCTAAAGTGTACAGATAATGTGCACTGAAATCTGACTCTCTCCCTCTCCCATAAGACTCTGTGCTCACAACATGAACTGCCAAGCCAACAATGAGATCAAACCAAGTGTCAGATTTGTGGCAAGCTCTGCTCTGGTTCACATGATTTATTGTTTTTATTGGTAGCAAATAGTTTTCCTTTAATAATGAATTTCTGCATGTATTTTAATAATCCTGTAGAGTTGTGGCTAAGACTAATTTTTAGATCTTTGCTTTAGGCAAAATATTTGAATAAAAGCAGATATGGAAGAAGGGATTTGTGTAGTTGTGTAATGGCTGACAATCGAGAGATCTTTGGAAAGAGTGAGGGAAAAATGCATGCTAGAGAGAAAGTATACTTTAAATTTATACAGCCCGCAAGTTATAGATTATAGCCAATTTTACATTTGACAAGCCAACTGTAGGTAAAACTGGTAACAGGCTTGCACGATCTGTAGTTAACAGAGCAGTAACCTTGTATTCTAGTATGTAGTTAACCTTGTATTCTAAATGTCTGATATTTACTCTAAAATCAAAGAGAAGGCTTTAGACTTACTGGAAAATGTATTAGAAATATTATTAAGGTCAAAACTGTGCAATGATTTCTGGCCCCCACTCCACTTCTATACAAATAATAAGATTATTTTCTTGTCTCAAACTATACCATCTACTGTCCAATATAGCCAAATGGGCAGACTGCTATTCTACATGCAATCTGTCCCTTATGTTTAAAGTGTAATTCCAGACAATATTTCTTATGCTTTAGATAAAGCAGAGAATGTTTGTTTGATTATTACTGTCGTTTCCCAGAAGGCAATAATCTCCTAATTGTGGAGCTAGTACAGGAAGTGAGGGGAGGTCACTCCAATGGGGATACATATAACAACAGCTGAAAGTTTTTTTCAGTCCTACTCGCACAATACCCTGGCTGCATGTGGACCAAGGCTTGCATTCCAGAACAACAGGTTTTGAATTCTCATACTACTACTTCTATTATCTTACTCAAAATATGGAGGGGGGTTGGGGGTTGGCCAAAAACTCTGTGAAAAATAATAACTCAAACACTGCATGCCTCTATCAATAGTCATACAACAAACCATCAAACACAATGGAAACATTAATATAAAACATCTCCGGTTGAAAGCTCTTGAAATATAAACGGCTGAAAAAATCACCAGCACAAGTGCTTTCTATTGCTATTTTTGTAGTTCTGGCTGTTTCCTTAGAATTGATGTTTGACTGGCTGGCTCAGTCACACTGGACAGCAGAGTGAAGGGATACTGTGTTTGTAACAGGCCAAGAACAGCAAAGGAATGGTTCTGGTATCGTTTACCAGTCTCAGTGCAGGGATCGTTGATAGCTCCTACTTGTGGAAGAATATTAGAGAAGCCTAGAGTCCCAGAAAAGCTGATATCTATATTTTATCTACTAGAAACTTTTACGTTTAGAAGTCAAAGCTAGTGTTTCCTCTGGTAATATTTATTTTATTTTTCCCCTTTAAGACAAATCGGTGTCTGATCACTGGGAATTTTAAAACTCTTATATTTAAATAAGAAATGCTATATGAGATCTAGATACATACTATATTCACAAGACGGGCCTATGATCCTAGGATAGTATACTAGATTTTGGAATAGGAGGTCTGCTGCAGGTCATTTCAGTGCAGGGCACTAAAAACAAATAAATACGTATATACACCCCTGCCCTTTTAAATATCAGCTATTAATAACAAGTATAATCACACTAACACTTTATTATCACTCCTGATACATTGCTTGAGTTAAGAATTTTAATGTCGAAAGCCAAATCCTTCAGAGATAAGTACCTGCGGCCAAAGAAAAGTGCTGTAAGCTAATGATTTGTCATAGTTGGCCTCATTGGTTGCAAAATTAATGAGAAAGACATCTGTTGAATGGCGAAATCTGCCCTTGTGTAGACATCTATAAAACAATTTAAATGGAACTGGAGAATCAGCTCAGTGATACAATAGTACACAGTAACACTTACAGCACTTGAAGGCTGGGCAGTTGATCACAGATAACACTGGGAAGACTGACCAGTTGTGCTCCCGTCAAAGTTCTATATTAAAAAAAAAAACAAGTAAATACATTTCAATCCTACTTTATAAGCGGTGGAGTAACAGTGATATTGAACACAATTGCTAAGCACTTACAGACTTTCCAGGCTTGTGGTTCCAGTGAGATCAGGAAACTCAGTGATTTGAGAAGCTCCGTTAAGAACCCTACATGCAAAAAAAGGTGCATCAATTCAAGTCCCGATTCTTCAACAAATTGCAGATAAACTCAAGCAAAAAAAAAAGAATGTTTGTATTAAATAGTTTTATGGAAATGGCTGTATTATATAGGCAGATTTTCTTACAAAAATATACCCTTATGAACAAAATGATTGAAGCTTAGAATTGTTGTAAGTACGCTGAAAAAGGCTTAGAATGCTTTGCTGCTATTTACAAAACCGAATTCCCCAAATTTTCAAACAATGACAAAATTAATTTGTACAAAAAAATATTTCAAATCCCAAATCTCAGATGACATGGCATACACTAGACCTCTGGGGGGATTACACCTCCACACAAAGCTCCTTCCTACCAACTATAATTCTACACTTCTCCCCAACCTACAATTCTAGGGTGTAATATACTTTTCCAAACATTTGCAGGCATTCAGGATGCCTTTTCTTTGCACTCTGTCTTCTAAGTGCTTATTGATCCTTATTAAAGGCCTGGAAAATGTATAGACGAGTAGTTTAATAAGCAGTAAAATTTGTTGTTCATGAAGTCTAAAGTTTGAGATATAAGATCTCACTCATAAAAGGAGGAGTCCTCTACAATATATGGAAACACAAGAAGGTTATATTCTTTTACGAGACCATTACGACCCCCCCCCGCCCCCGAAAAAAAATCCTAACCATGTATGCTATCCCCATTCATTTAATATTTGCAGGTAAGCCTCTTACATAATTGTAGCTACTATAACAGAGGATTAGGCAGATGTGATTACAGTCTGTGTAACAAAAATTATAAAATATATTATAACAAAATTTCCTTCTCAGGTTCCATGCCTGAAGTTGTTTATTCACCATCCTTTCCTTTCTTCAGACAACAGTATGCCATCTTTCTTCCTTTATACTTGTTATCTATACATGGACATCCTGGTTATGTGGGAGGTGAGCCTTGTCTAGAGAAAGACATTCCTGACAGATTTGTGCGGTACGTTAATGGATATTTATTTAATATTGTCTTAAAAACTCACAGAGTTCTGAGCTCAGGCAAGTGCTTAAATGCTGATCTCCCAACGTGCTGAATCGGGTTGTCATAGAAATGTCTGCAAAAAACAGAATGAAACACCATTTAAATCACATGAGTAATCATATACTATATGTAATTAAAGTAAATCTTCTTTCACTGCTAAACATTCCTTTCACATTAATAGAGTTTAGAAAATCAAGGTATTTTCATTGGATTCCTCCTTTAGATTCAGACATCTTTTTAGATTTTCATGAATTGTTAGAAAGTATCATGCTTTTTAGAAGCATATTTAGTACACTACAACACGACCGACACAAAGAGCTTCAGGTAGAACTAAAAACCACAGGACCCTGCTGCATCATTGAAAGTGATCCTGCCACATCAAACTGTATGAAGCAAAGCGCATACTTGCAAAGATGAGAGATAATACTTACCTTTCACACAGGCTGTGCTGCTGAACTCTATTGTTTATCAGAAATAATCCCCTGAAGTCCCCTGGAAAACCTCTGCATAACAAATACACTTTATGCAAATATGGGGCAGTTTCATTCAAAAATGAAGAATTAGAATTGTTGTCTAATCGTTCCATGTAATGCAAAGCGGAACCTAAGAGTTTTTTTACTGGCAACATTTCCAGTTTTGTTTTGACTCTCTTCTCTCCATTTTTAATGCGATTACTCTTAAATGTGGAAGACACCCTCAGCCACAAAAGTGTCTTTAAGCTATGCAAATCAAGACATATCCAGAATTATTAAAAAATAAAAAATATTTTTTTTTTTCATTTTATATAATAGTTAACATCTAGATGTTTGGTGGCAGTGCAGACATCAATAGATTTCCACATTCACCTTAGGTTGTGATAGGGATAAGTGAATCTAGAATTGAAACACCATACTTCGATATTTAAGTCCAGATACAAGTTCATTCCAAAGGCAAAATCTTTACAAAGCCAACATGTTTTGTTGGCTGTAGCTCCACCTTCTTTATCAGGGCTTACAAATTACATATTGACACTAAGGGGTATATTTATAACCAATTTGCAGAGCCATTCAGCCTACAAATTTATCTGAGCATTCGTTCTGTGTGAATAGACTGAAAAAAAAAACTTACTTAAACATATTTTCTTTTCAGGTCAAATGTATGAAATATAATACTGCATTATGGCTACTAGACTTATTTCCTATGCTCTACAGCTCCATCTAGTAGCCAAAATGCATTATTACAGTAAATACATTTGACCTGAAAAGAAGATATATCTAAAGCTGGCCATACACCTTACAACCATCGCAAGCATTTGCCCGTGCGGCATTTGTCCTACGAGCAGGCCACAAACCCGCCGACAATCGTACAATTCTCGGCGGGTTTTCGAGCCTGCTCGTAAGACAAAAAAGACGTGCGATTGTACAGTAAAAACAATTGCACGCCTTCCATACACCTGCCGATTATCGTACGATCGCAGGATTTCCTGCGATTATCGTACGATAATCGGCAGGTGTATGGACACATTAAGAATGTTAATTTTTGTATCTGTTTGCACAAAAAGAATGTTCATAAAGATTCCTAGGATGAATGGCTCTGCAATTTGGTTATAAATTGAGCCCTAAGTATATAGACTCAAAAGTAAAGGCTGCTAGAACCAGCTGCTTGCAGATGCTGTGCAAACAACAATATCCTACCTAGAAAAGACTAAACTAAGAGCAAGGCTCACCAAGGGGGTATTCAAGCCCTCCAGAAAGGTACTACAACCTTAAAATAAACTTTACTAAAGCAGAACTATGAGGTGAGTGCTTCTCACTCACCTCATAGTTCTAGCCGACCTGTGACAATGAGACTGTCACAGGTCGGCTCAGTAGATCCGGAGGTGAGCGAACATATACCGGCGTTCGCTCTCCTCTCGATCCTGTCACAGCTCTCTGCCGTGACAGGGGAGGGGCTGGATTCCCCCCTCCCTGCTCCGATCCGCCAGCGCTGACTGGCGGAAAGGACGGGGGAGGGTGCGGGTACAGCTGGCTCTGCCTCTAGATAGGCAGAGCCAGCTGTCACTCACGCAGCTGGGCAGATCTCGATATCGATGTCGGGATCCGCTCCGGCGTCTCAGTATACTGCGAGCTGTAGCTCACGGTATACTGAGCTTAGGGTAACGGGAGGACGCTAGTTTGTGTCCTCCCGTTACCCTAAGGAGAACTATGGGGAAAAGCCCTGACCCCATAGTTCTCCTTTTAAGCTACTGTAAGGCTTTTTTTAATTATGCCCCTTTTATTTTGAGTGCTGGCAAAATGACTTGTCTTACACATTTGTAATAACCCTGATAAAATAAAAAGCCGCTTGCCACTCTTTAAAAGTATTTTCTTAGGTGCAGGTTTGTATGGGTTTTCTCTGGGTAACTCAATTGACTCACCCTGCTTCCAAAAACACTGGCAGATTCATGGCCTTAACTGGCAATGAGAAGGGTTCAGTGTTCTTTTTACACAACCGTATTCAATTATATAGAAATATACACAGTAAACAAATAACCAATGTTCTCTACCACTGCATAAAATAATAATAATAAAAAAAATGAAATCCACTCTTTGATTATTAAAAGAATACATCACACATTAAAACGTTATCAGGGAAAACCCTACTTTCAGATTTAGTCATTCTGTTACAATGAAACAATAAAAGGGTTTGCTTGTAAAGGTAAAAAAAAGTGAATGAATAACACGAAACAGGAAAATGTAACACTTTTTCCATTGCATATGTATATATGCATATTCTGGGTAACTTCATCATTGTATTATATGCATGAGAATGGCAATGTCTGTGTTTAATTAGGTTATATAGTTCACCGGAGAAACATTCGAAAAACCACTATACCCAATTATGATGTGACTAACCATAATTGGCTATATTCACATGCTTACTCTTTTCAGAGAACAGACATTCACTAGGTGTTAACTGAAAAAAATACACATTGTTAGAGGTAAAGACCAGACCTTGCTGTCATGTGATCACTCCCAAATACTTTTTTTTTTCTTTTTTTTAGAAATGTATTACTAAAGGAGATACACCGTATATTTTGGGTGTTCTCGCCCTCGGGTCATATGTTGAACATTCTGTGCAATTTGGCATGTGAAATCGAATTGTCTTTGATTTACCAGGGATGTGAACTGTTTCACGTCTTGTTCAATTGTCTAATCATTCCAGTGTGGAATGTGGTTTTGGTTAAAGGATTAAAGAGCTGCATTGTGGTAACACATTGTTTTTGTCATTTAATGGTTTTTAGTGTAAGGCCTGTATATAAGGAGATTATGTCAAGCTGTGGCATGTCAATATTATTACCTATTTCCATTTTACAATATACTCTTCTTCCATGCATATGGAAGCCTCAATTATATATTCTTTTGATGAATCCACATGGATCAAACCTTTGCTTGATCTTAAGCAGACTTACTTATATTATTTATAATCATTATTTTACTTGTTATTTGTTAGTAGTTAGGGATGAGCTTCGGATTCGGGTCAAACTCCTGTTCGGTGAACAGGCATGGTGGTGTCAATGCCTCCACTAAATGAATTGCTTTCCTCTGGCTTGTTTCACATTGTAAAAAAACTGTCGTTGATCTAGAGTTACAACATTGATTAAATATGGCTGTGATTATACTGTATTCGGTCAACGGTGTCACCCAGGTTCTAGGCGCTGTGGGACCACTGTCATTTGTGGTAGGAGTATCGGTAAGAGAGGATCATTTTGGCATAGTTGTTTTGTGTTGTCAGAGACATTTGCTCATGGTGAACAATCTAGATCACTGGACTACCTGTTTAACTTTTTTTTTTAGGACTTAAAACTTTTTTCTAAAGTGTGGGTGTTTTACTTACTATTTCCTTTTTTTGGTGAATGAGTAACAAGGGTACTTATTAATGCAGGGGGCAGGGCCAGATATCTGTGGGGCCCCCTTATTTTATAGAGGGATTCCAGAGTCTGATAAGTTCTCCCTCATAGAGACCCACATCCACCGTGCCAGGGATGTGGGGATGAGGCTTATGATGAGGCAACATGAGGACAAGAAACCTTGCTGGATGGGGTAGCCACATGTGTACTTTCCCTATAACTAACTTAAAAAAAAACACCCCCTTGATTTCCAAGCCCTTTTTTTTTAGATGTCAGTGATGTAGTAGTTTGACTTGCATTTTTTTGGTCATGCAATAGTGCACCCAAATCAATGTTATATTATATTTTGAGATAGAGCTTTCTTTTGGTGGTGTATAATAACCAATGGTTTTATTTATTTATTTATTTCAATATATAAAAGGAAAATACCACAAATGTTACATACATTAAAAACATACTTAGAAAAAAAAATCTTTCTTTACAAATTAAGATCAAAATGTATTCTGCTACATTTATTTGGCAAAAAAGTGTATATTATTATTATTATTACATAGTATTTATATAGCGCCAATAGTTTGCACAGCGCTTTACAATGTAAGACATTACAATTACAATACAATTCAAGACAAGATGGTAAGGAGGGCCCTGCCCCTGAGGGCTTACAATCTAAAAGAGGAGGGGGAAATGATACATGAGGAGGTACCTGTGAGGGGATTAATTATTTGAGAATGTGATGGTTCAGTGGTTAGGTTGAGGTGGGTCAGTGTGAAGGTTATACAGTCTAGAAACTATGTATATGAACTTTATGAACCCTTATGTTATGACTTTCTAAAGCATCTCTAGAGGCCCTTTTAAAAAAAACCCACCCCTTTTTGGAAAGCCCAAAGGTTTCAATTAAGAGGCATGGTGAGTTGTTTGAAGATCTAATTGGAGTTTGATCTTTTTTTTTTTCACAATGTTGCCATTTTACTGTTATTTCTCACACACAGCATGGACATACTTACAATTACACCCCAAAATACATTCTTTTACTACTCCTGTGCATTGGAATACCACTTGTATGAGACTTTTTTGCTGCTTAGCTTCATAGACAAAAGCCAAGGAGCACCTTAAAGCTTTCAAGGGCCATACAATATGCATCTGATTTCCTGATGATGCTATTTTGGAAAACGGACACCCCCAAAGCATTTGAAGCATAGAGAGAAAGTATATGTCTTTTCAATGACAGTGCAATCACAAAGACTGAGCACACACAGCAAAATGGGACTTTTAAAATGTTCATTTAGAACAGGAAGTACCCTGAGTTGTGGGGTGGTTAACATAAAAAAAACATGTCATGGGGTCCCCCCCAGGCACCATACCCATACTCTTATCCAGTGGCTAATTCCTATTAGTAGTAGCATAAAACTAAACTACCTTTGTAAGCAAGCTGCGAAGTATCTGTCAAAGGCAGTACCTGTATAACTAGGGACAATCAGAATTGTGGATTCATAATTTCATTCTCCTAAATATTTCTATGCAGATTTGTCTGATCTGCACAGAATCATGTAAATTAGGAAAACAGATGTGTGAATATATATACTGTATATATATACACACACACACACACACACACACACACACACACACGGTGCCAAAAAATTTATACACATTTTAAGAAAGGAAAAACTGTATTAAAATTGTAATACTCAATTTATACTGATAAAAAAAGATAAATACACGTCACATTTGACTTCTTGAATTACAAGAGGTGCTCAAAGTGATTACAATCAGCGTCCAGACACTTTTGATTAAAAGAGAACTATGGGGTAAGTGTTTTTCCCCATAGGTCTCTTAAGAGTCACGGGAGGACATATACTAACCTCCTCCTGTGACCCAAAGCTCAGTATATCGCGAGCTACAGCTCGCAGTATACTGAGACCTCCGCAGCCGGGACGGATCCCGACAATGCTATCGAGATCCACCCAGCTGCGTGATTGACAGCTGGCTCTGCCTATCTAGAGGCAGAGCCAGCTGTACCTGCCCCTCCCCCATCTGTTCCTCCAATCAGCCCTGAAGGAGCGGGGAGGGGGGGAATCCCTGCAGGGAGCTGTTACTGACAGTCACGGCTCTCTGCAGGGAGGTGATCGAGAAGTGAGTGAGCGACGGTATGTGTTCGCTCACTTCCCGATCTATTGAGCCGACATTTGTCGGTTTCATTGTCACACATCGGCTCGAACTATGAGGATGAGTGATTTTCACTCACCTCATAGTTCTCCTTTAAGGCAAACTACTGCTTGAGCAACGTTGACCAAAGCGGGCCACTTGTATCGCTGTGCATGCTGTTTCAGTTTCTTCACTTAACATGAATGCGTGCAATTGTTAGGTGTGTTGGAGGTTCTGTTGCATACTCACGCCTCCATTGTCGTTGTACTTCCACAACATTCTCAAATTTCAAATACCACTTCAAAATGGTCCTCGAATAACAACCGTGCTTCAGCCATTTTCTGTGAATGTCCTGCCTGTGGCATGGTGACGCTATTCATTTGATTAATGCCATCTATTGAGCGAATATCATACTACACATTGCTACCGTAATTCAATTCATCCTCGAAAAGTAATATATAGATAACATCTCTTAAAATGTGTATACATTTTTTTGTCACCCCAGGTATATATACTGTATATTGCAAATTACAGAGTTATATATACATATATATGCATCTATATATTGTAAATTCCAGAGTTGCCTGATTTTTTCAAGCTGGTCCCCTCATCATTCATTACTCATTACTACTATCTATGGATATTATGTCATTCAGTTAATTCTAATTGTTAACATAATAGCAATAAAATAGTTATACAATAGTTGCCAGAACACAGATGTTACAATGTGCAATAAATTCA